GGGTCTACAGCTTTTTTCTGATCATATCACCTTAAAAGGAAGGGGTGGTCATGTGAAATTTTAAGACAGACATCCTTTCTGCTGAATGTTTATTAGCATTAGAGTTAAAGAGCAGACTATGAACTTTGGACAGTTCTGCTAAAAACTCCTTTCTTTTCAAAAGATCAGCTGTCTGTCTGTTGCAAAATAATTAATTACATCAGGTGTCCAATCCCCATTGATTTTTCCAGGGTAAACAAAGTCTCAATTTGTAATGTGAAAAAAGGAATCAGTAAAAACATGCCCCTTCCTCCCCTCTTTTTATTTTTTTTTAGAAAAAGAAACTTTCTTCTTTAGTTACTCAGCAAAGGTTGATGCAAATTCATTTCTTCATCAGTTAGGAGGGATGATGATTTCATAACACAAACCAGATTTCTGTTGAAAGCATATTTGCAGTCATAAATGCCCTTGCCATTCCCTGAGCACCCACCTACATTGCCCTGCGACACGTGTAGGAGAGATAACAACATATCAGAGAATCATAGAATGGGTTGGGTTGGAAGGGACCCTAAAGATCATCTTGTTCCACCCCCTGCCCTGGGCAGGGACACCTCCCACTAGACCAGGTTGCTCAAAGCCCCGTCCAACCTGGCCTTGAATGGAGCCACACATCTGGAAACCCCGGCAGCACTCAGCCCAGGACAGTATCGGGAGTATGGGTTGATGGGCACCCCAGCAGCTACCAGTCTTTTGGCTTTAAATGGAGCCACGTGTCCCTTCTTCAACATCCCAACCCAGCCCCAGAGAAGGCAACTTCTGAAGATGTCTTCAGAGTGCTGCTGGTTCTGCTAAATGGGCTGGAAAGAGATTTCCCCCATCCCTGGAGGGGTTCAAAGCCAGGTTGGAGGGGGCTTTGAGAAACCTGGTCTAGTGGGAGGTGTCCCTGCCCAGGGCAGGGGGTTCGAACTGGATGATCTATAAGGTCCCTTCCAACCCAAACCATGATCCTATGATTCCTTCTCTCACTTCAACGGGAGCAGGGACACTTGTGTATCCCCAACCATTTCCACCTCCCTGAGATGTGGTCCCTACCGCTCTTCTCTGTAGCTCTGTATAGAACAGTCCTTGACAATCCCCAGCACAAATAAAGAACTGCCCATCACCACTCCTCTCCCAAGCTCATCATTTCAAGGGTATAATTTCATAATTACAGTTACCTTAACCATGGCTGTCTCAGAACATGGGCTCCCACAGCCTTTAGACACTGACCAACTGGTCCGTGCCTCTGCCACCACATCACCCAAGCCACACGATGCATCACCCGAGCCACGCGTTGCCCATGGCTCAGTGAAATTCCCAGACTGGCTACACAAAGGGGCTTTCCCATCAGTCCTTCCTTTGAGACAATCCATCACTGCCCAGAAAAACAAAAGCTTTCCTTTGATACGCTCCTGACACACAGGAGAGAAAAATACTGCTAAGCTGAATTCACTGACGTTCACTTACAGAAAAATACACTTCAACCTTCTTGGTCATTAGCACTTTCATAAAACCACTAGTTCCTACAGAAATTACCTTTTTTCTCAAAGGTATTTCTCAAATGAGCATTTGATTCTTTGGCTTGGATGTAACAGAGGCACTTTGCAGAACAGCTCCAAAAGATTATCTGCAAACACGTCACCTTATGCGTGAAAATTGCCCTTGCCATTATAAAAGCAATTTGGACTAAAAAAAATCTGCACCTAAAACACATTTAAAACAAACATTAGTATAAATAATTGAGATTATCCAATTCTAAAAACGCAATTAGGCGTAACACTTCATAGAGCCAGCCCCAATCAACCACGGCGGTGGGAAGGGCCTGGGGAATTTGAGGTGGGTGACCACAGCTCGTGGCTGGTGGTGTCTGAGCTCGGCTGTCACCCTGCAGAGCACCCCTGGCGTGGACATTCCATCACCTTCCCCCTCAATCTGCACCAATGGCTCTCAATATTTGGAACAGGATTTAAATATCACAGCTAGAAAAGCAGTAAAATAAATTTCCATCCTATCGCTTCAAAAAGCAAGGGGCTGGTGCGTGGAAGAGCCTGTAAGAGAAGTGACCGCGGAGCTTCTAGAGCTGCTGAAGGTATAGGTGGCAGCTGATAGGAAAATTCTCTCTTTTTGGTCATTCTGAAGTGGTTTTATTACATGGAGGTGTTACCCTGACATCCCATAACACCATAATTCCACAACATTTTGTTCCCCAAACTGCATCGTGAGAAAAACTAGAGAAAGGCTCCCACCCAAGCTGGAGGTCCATCACACGCCACCCTTTCCTTCTCTTCTTCTTTCCTTTGTTTTCCCTAATTTCCAATTAGCTGCACTTAGCGCAGATGATAAGGTTCAAAACCCAATTAAAGGAATTTGCTGGGTCACAGGTCTCCTATGGCTTGCTTTACCACATGTTCTTTATTGCGATTTTGTAGGTTAATGGGCCGTTTATGGGTTGTTTATGTGCTCTCTTTAGCAAGGAGAACATATTTCCATCCTAATCTCCGGGGGCGAACACTGTGTGCTCAGTGCGGGACGGACGGCCCCGGTATGGGGCTTAAGAAACCAGAGAGCAATTAACCTGGGGAGGAGAAGAAGGAGGGGGGGGGTGAACTCTCCAGACCTCCCCCCTTGCCCGACCTTTGAGCACCAGCCTCCCCCAGCCTTGACCATCACCTTCGCTTCGACCTACTCCCTCCAGTTTAGGAGCTGCTGGAACCAGCACCACCAAGGCCAAGACCAGCCGCCGCCGAGCCCTTTTTCATTTTAATTTTCCTCGCAGTTTCATTCAAGAAACAACCTGATGATCCACAGACATATGTAGCAGAGAAAATGCTAATCCACGGATTTAGATGGCTGGGATTATATTTCTACCCACCCCACCCCCCCCAGCCCCGAATGGGAGAGGAATTAAGGTATTAATTGCAGATGGTAAAATGCTCCCATGCAACATTTAAAGGGAGGTATTGCCATCCGGGAGGGACAACCCTTCCCTCCCCCTTGTCCCCTCTCCCGTTGGGTCACAGGCGGTCCATGAGGTGGCTTATAAAATCCATCACTTTGCAGAAGAGAGCGAACACATCAGCAGTTTCTCCCAGTTCAGCTCAGGCCAATTACGAGTACAATTTATACCCTCGGGTTCCCAAAGGCAAAATCAATCTCCATCAACGGAGAGAAACTCTCCGGGAGCTCGGAAATAGGGAGAGACACATTTCTAGCATGACAACCTCAAATCAGCCCCAGCTGAGCTTCCCAGCCCGGCACCAGTGATGGAAGAGCTGGTGCGGTGCCTGCGGGGCTCCCTGTCACCCACGGAAATGCCGGGGGGCTTCGTTGGACCAAAGAGTATCCTAAAGTCACCTCCCGTGCTGCAATGCCAAGTTACAAGTGTCTTGGTTGTCATGGGTGGAAGATGGTCATAGCATGGTTCTCTAGGAGTACCGTGGTGCCTTGGGATGGGGCGACTCATCGGTGTTGAGGTACAAGTAAAACAGCCTCTTCTCCAGCCTTCAGCACAGGAAGGACATGGAGGTGTTGGAGCAGGGCCAGAGGAGGCCATGGAGATGCTGGGAGGGCTGGAGCCCCTCTGCTGGGAGGGGGGGCTGAGAGAGTTGGGGGGTTCAGCCTGGAGAAGAGAAGGCTCCAGGGAGACCTTGGAGCCCCTTCCAGTCCGTCAAGGGGATCCAGGAGAGATGGGGAGGGACTCTGGATGAGGGAGGGGAGCCCTAGGAGGAGGGGGAAGGGTTTGACCCTGCAAGAGGGGAGATGGAGCTGAGATGTGGGGAAGAAGTTCTTTGGTGTGAGGGTGGTGAGAGCCTGGCCCAGGTTGGCCAGAGAAGCTGTGGCTGCCCCATCCCTGGAGGGACTGAAGGCCAGGTTGGAGGGGGCTTGGAGCAACCTGGTGTGGTGGGAGGTGTCCCTGCCCAGGGCAGGGGGTGGCACTCGATACAGGGTCTTTAACATCAGGTTCCAACCTGAACCATTCTAGGATTCTACAATTCCAACCAACCAACCAACATGATTTTCCTGTTTTTTTCACCTTGCAGTTACCAGGGACACTTCTAAACACCCTTGGGACCTTCACCTCTCTCAACTGCTTCCTTCATTCGAGGCCAGAAAGAGCATCTAACAAGTTCTCTGTTAACTCTGAAGTCCATCAGCAGATTAAAGCAGTTTTGAGACACGAGCAGAAGCTTTATTTGGGCACTGACTTATAACAGCTCTGGCCAAGACACTGACACAAAGCCCTAAGAAGCCCATACGTCTGTTGGCTCTCCATAGGCAAACTCTTCAAATAAATCTGGCACTCCAGTTTTTGCTAGTTTTCGTTTTAAAGGAGTATTTAAACAAATCCTCGAACTCTATCCTTTATCAAAGAAAGGTAATTTGAACTACACAGGCTCCTTTCTGTGGATTCCCCAAGCGAGCCACAGGTATTTCATAGAATCATAGAATCATAGAATGGTTTGGGTTGGAAGGAACCTTAAAGATCATCTAGTTCCAACCCCCCTGCCCTGGGCAGGGACACCTCCCACCAGACCAGGTTGCTCAAATAGCCATCCAGCCTGGCCTTGAACACCTCCAGTGATGGGGCATCCACGACCTCCCTGGGCAACCTGTTCCAGTGCCTCACCACCCTCACTGTAAAGAATTTCTTCCTAGTATCTAACCTAAATTTCCCCTCCACCAGCTTAAAACCATTGCCCCTTGTCCTGTCGCTACTCTTCTTTGTAAAGAGTCCCTCTCCGGCTCTTCTGTAGGCTCCTTTCAGGTACTGAAAGGCTGTTATAAGGTCTCCCCGGAGCCTTCTCTTCTCCAGGCTGAACAACCCCAGCTCTCTCAGCCTGTCTTCATAGGAGAGGTGCTCCATCCCTCTGATCATCCTCGTGGCCCTCGTATTTCCCCAATTTAATGTTAAAAAGGAGTTTCCCATGGGGGTCCTAGGCAACTGCCCTTCCCTTTTTGGGCTAAAGGAAAAACCAACCCACCTTGCGGTCTCCTTCCACTCCATCTCTTGTCCATCGACGGCCAGCAGCTCATCCAGCTCGGTGAAGAGCTGCGGGGGTGCCGGGCTGTCATCTTCCTCTCCGAGGATGAAGCGGATGCGTTCGGCGGCGGGGGAGACTGCGGAGGTGAAAATACTGCGGTTAACGGCCTGGGAGATGACCAGGGAGGTGCGGCTCCTCTCCTTCCCCTGCTCCCCAAAGCCATTCAGCTGTTTCTCCAGGCCGTCCTGTCCATCTGACATCCTAGTCGCCGTGCGGGCGGAGGGGTGGCCACCTCCCTCTCTCCCCCTTTCCTTGCCTCTCGCTTAACTTCTTAAAAGTTGTTCCAGCTGGGAGTAAAGTTCAGCAAAACTCGCCTCTTCCTACAGTCCTTAACTATCTTACAGCAATTTGCTGCCCTTGTAAAAAAAAAAAAAAGAAAAAGAAGAAAAAAATGCTCTATCAAGCTCAAAACCAATATGCTCTACGGTGCGTGCCCGAGGACCTTTCGCCCTCTGCTCAGCTGAGATCCCCTTCGCCCCCTTTTTTATATGACGTAAAACCAGTTTCAGCCGAACCCCTTTTGGGGCTCGCTGCGAGGGCATCCCATGGCTGGCTCTCTCCCCTCCCTGCCACCAAGGCTGAGGCTACCATTGGCCTGCCAGGCAGGCTGGAACCTCCCCAGACCCACCGCTGGAATATTTAACAGGAAGGTTGTCTCATCTATACATGAAGAATGTGACCCAACGCATTTAGTCAGGCACCAATGCACCGAAAAAAAACAACTGCTCCCCCATTGGGGAAAGACTGCCCATTTAGGCAAAAGAAACCGTGTTCAACACACGCTCCTTTGATAGCACAAAGTCCATTGGCATTATTAGCTCAAGAAAAATTAGCAGAAACCCCTTCCTGGTTAAGACACACACCTGCCTCATAATTAAAACCCAAGAACATCACCGTCCATGTCCCAAGAGCTAAAGGCATCTCCCAAAGGCAACAGGAGCTCACACCTCAGGAGACACCTTGCTGAAGGACTTCTTGGGGTCTACAGCTTTTTTCTGATCATATCACCTTAAAAGGAAGGGGTGGTCATGTGAAATTTTAAGACAGACATCCTTTCTGCTGAATGTTTATTAGCATTAGAGTTAAAGAGCAGACTATGAACTTTGGACAGTTCTGCTAAAAACTCCTTTCTTTTCAAAAGATCAGCTGTCTGTCTGTTGCAAAATAATTAATTACATCAGGTGTCCAATCCCCATTGATTTTTCCAGGGTAAACAAAGTCTCAATTTGTAATGTGAAAAAAGGAATCAGTAAAAACATGCCCCTTCCTCCCCTCTTTTTATTTTTTTTTAGAAAAAGAAACTTTCTTCTTTAGTTACTCAGCAAAGGTTGATGCAAATTCATTTCTTCATCAGTTAGGAGGGATGATGATTTCATAACACAAACCAGATTTCTGTTGAAAGCATATTTGCAGTCATAAATGCCCTTGCCATTCCCTGAGCACCCACCTACATTGCCCTGCGACACGTGTAGGAGAGATAACAACATATCAGAGAATCATAGAATGGGTTGGGTTGGAAGGGACCCTAAAGATCATCTTGTTCCACCCCCTGCCCTGGGCAGGGACACCTCCCACTAGACCAGGTTGCTCAAAGCCCCGTCCAACCTGGCCTTGAATGGAGCCACACATCTGGAAACCCCGGCAGCACTCAGCCCAGGACAGTATCGGGAGTATGGGTTGATGGGCACCCCAGCAGCTACCAGTCTTTTGGCTTTAAATGGAGCCACGTGTCCCTTCTTCAACATCCCAACCCAGCCCCAGAGAAGGCAACTTCTGAAGATGTCTTCAGAGTGCTGCTGGTTCTGCTAAATGGGCTGGAAAGAGATTTCCCCCATCCCTGGAGGGGTTCAAAGCCAGGTTGGAGGGGGCTTTGAGAAACCTGGTCTAGTGGGAGGTGTCCCTGCCCAGGGCAGGGGGGTTGGAACTGGATGATCTAGAAGGTCCCTTCCAACCCAAACCATGATCCTATGATTCCTTTTCTCACTTCAACAGAAGCAGGGACACTTGTGTATCCCCAACCATTTCCACCTCCCTGAGATGTGGTCCCTACCGCTCTTCTCTGTAGCTCTGTATAGAACAGTCCTTGACAATCCCCAGCACAAATAAAGAACTGCCCATCACCACTCCTCTCCCAAGCTCATCATTTCAAGGGTATAATTTCATAATTACAGTTACCTTAACCATGGCTGTCTCAGAACATGGGCTCCCACAGCCTTTAGACACTGACCAACTGGTCCGTGCCTCTGCCACCACATCACCCAAGCCACACGATGCATCACCCGAGCCACGCGTTGCCCATGGCTCAGTGAAATTCCCAGACTGGCTACACAAAGGGGCTTTCCCATCAGTCCTTCCTTTGAGACAATCCATCACTGCCCAGAAAAACAAAAGCTTTCCTTTGATACGCTCCTAACACACAGGAGAGAAAAATACTGCTAAGCTGAATTCACTGACGTTCACTTACAGAAAAATACACTTCAACCTTCTTGGTCATTAGCACTTTCATAAAACCACTAGTTCCTACAGAAATTACCTTTTTTCTCAAAGGTATTTCTCAAATGAGCATTTGATTCTTTGGCTTGGATGTAACAGAGGCACTTTGCAGAACAGCTCCAAAAGATTATCTGCAAACACGTCACCTTATGCGTGAAAATTGCCCTTGCCATTATAAAAGCAATTTGGACTAAAAAAAATCTGCACCTAAAACACATTTAAAACAAACATTAGTATAAATAATTGAGATTATCCAATTCTAAAAACGCAATTAGGCGTAACACTTCATAGAGCCAGCCCCAATCAACCACGGCGGTGGGAAGGGCCTGGGGAATTTGAGGTGGGTGACCACAGCTCGTGGCTGGTGGTGTCTGAGCTCGGCTGTCACCCTGCAGAGCACCCCTGGCGTGGACATTCCATCACCTTCCCCCTCAATCTGCACCAATGGCTCTCAATATTTGGAACAGGATTTAAATATCACAGCTAGAAAAGCAGTAAAATAAATTTCCATCCTATCGCTTCAAAAAGCAAGGGGCTGGTGCGTGGAAGAGCCTGTAAGAGAAGTGACCGCGGAGCTTCTAGAGCTGCTGAAGGTATAGGTGGCAGCTGATAGGAAAATTCTCTCTTTTTGGTCATTCTGAAGTGGTTTTATTACATGGAGGTGTTACCCTGACATCCCATAACACCATAATTCCACAACATTTTGTTCCCCAAACTGCATCGTGAGAAAAACTAGAGAAAGGCTCCCACCCAAGCTGGAGGTCCATCACACGCCACCCTTTCCTTCTCTTCTTCTTTCCTTTGTTTTCCCTAATTTCCAATTAGCTGCACTTAGCGCAGATGATAAGGTTCAAAACCCAATTAAAGGAATTTGCTGGGTCACAGGTCTCCTATGGCTTGCTTTACCACATGTTCTTTATTGCGATTTTGTAGGTTAATGGGCCGTTTATGGGTTGTTTATGTGCTCTCTTTAGCAAGGAGAACATATTTCCATCCTAATCTCCGGGGGCGAACACTGTGTGCTCAGTGCGGGACGGACGGCCCCGGTATGGGGCTTAAGAAACCAGAGAGCAATTAACCTGGGGAGGAGAAGAAGGAGGGGGGGGGTGAACTCTCCAGACCTCCCCCCTTGCCCGACCTTTGAGCACCAGCCTCCCCCAGCCTTGACCATCACCTTCGCTTCGACCTACTCCCTCCAGTTTAGGAGCTGCTGGAACCAGCACCACCAAGGCCAGGACCAGCCGCCGCTGAGCCCTTTTTCATTTTAATTTTCCTCGCAGTCTCATTCAAGAAACAACCTGATGATCCACAGACATATGTAGCAGAGAAAATGCTAATCCACGGATTTAGATGGCTGGGATTATATTTCCCACCCCACCCTCCCCCCAGCCCCGAATGGGAGAGGAATTAAGGTATTAATTGCAGATGGTAAAATGCTCCCATGCAACATTTAAAGGGAGGTATTGCCATCCGGGAGGGACAACCCTTCCCTCCCCCTTGTCCCCTCTCCTGTTGGGTCACAGGCGGTCCATGAGGTGGCTTATAAAATCCATCACTTTGCAGAAGAGAGCGAACACATCAGCAGTTTCTCCCAGTTCAGCTCAGGCCAATTACGAGTACAATTTATACCCTCGGGTTCCCAAAGGCAAAATCAATCTCCATCAACGGAGAGAAACTCTCCGGGAGCTCGGAAATAGGGAGAGACACATTTCTAGCATGACAACCTCAAATCAGCCCCAGCTGAGCTTCCCAGCCCGGCACCAGTGATGGAAGAGCTGGTGCGGTGCCTGCGGGGCTCCCTGTCACCCACGGAAATGCCGGGGGGCTTCGTTGGACCAAAGAGTATCCTAAAGTCACCTCCCGTGCTGCAATGCCAAGTTACAAGTGTCTTGGTTGTCATGGGTGGAAGATGGTCATAGCATGGTTCTCTAGGAGTACCGTGGTGCCTTGGGATGGGGCGACTCATCGGTGTTGAGGTACAAGTAAAACAGCCTCTTCTCCAGCCTTCAGCACAGGAAGGACATGGAGGTGTTGGAGCAGGGCCAGAGGAGGCCATGGAGATGCTGGGAGGGCTGGAGCCCCTCTGCTGGGAGGGGGGGCTGAGAGAGTTGGGGGGTTCAGCCTGGAGAAGAGAAGGCTCCAGGGAGACCTTGGAGCCCCTTCCAGTCCGTCAAGGGGATCCAGGAGAGATGGGGAGGGACTCTGGATGAGGGAGGGGAGCCCTAGGAGGAGGGGGAAGGGTTTGACCCTGCAAGAGGGGAGATGGAGCTGAGATGTGGGGAAGAAGTTCTTTGGTGTGAGGGTGGTGAGAGCCTGGCCCAGGTTGGCCAGAGAAGCTGTGGCTGCCCCATCCCTGGAGGGACTGAAGGCCAGGTTGGAGGGGGCTTGGAGCAACCTGGTGTGGTGGGAGGTGTCCCTGCCCAGGGCAGGGGGTGGCACTCGATACAGGGTCTTTAACATCAGGTTCCAACCTGAACCATTCTAGGATTCTACAATTCCAACCAACCAACCAACATGATTTTCCTGTTTTTTTCACCTTGCAGTTACCAGGGACACTTCTAAACACCCTTGGGACCTTCACCT